ATTAACAAGAACAAGTTTAGAAAAAAAATGAACACAAAAAAAAACAGCATAATGAAGCAACAAAGAGTGAGAATTGAAACCAAAAAATAAATGGTAAGAGTAAGAAAGAAAGTACCGTATTGTGTGGCATGCAGGAGAGACTGACGCTGTTGATGTAAGTCTTGAAGAATTGAGACACCAAGGTCTTCTGTTTCCAGCATTGTTCTTCTGCTTTCTTGATTCTGTCACTGGACTGATTTAATCTCTCAGTTGACATCAATAATCTTCCTCTTTGATCAGCAGACACCTGTACCATCCATCAATTATCAGTAAAAGAAGAGCTCATAAACATTAAGATTTCAATCTATGAACCAGGAGCCATAAAACATATGGAAAGGTCTCCATCATTTGATGTCTTCTACAAACAAAGGAACTGAAAAATCAAACCAATATAAACATTGAAGATAATTAGTTGAAAAAGCCTAATAAAGTGACAGGATAATCCACAAAAGGTGTCAATTTCAAGCACATCTGGAAAAATATTTAGTCAAACAAAACGAATAGGATTTAAAAATTAAGGTCCAGTTGGCTAAATGTCAGAGAAACTATAAAAAGTTTGTACCCAAAACCCAAAGCTCACCAAAAAGGACAGCACTCCACCCAGATGGAGAGTAAAAGGAATACCACAAACAGAGGCACCTAAATTGTGAATAACTTCTTAGTCAATTTGGCAATGTGTAGAAAAGGCTCACTACAATTCACAAACTCAACTCAAAAACAAGCGATTATGCTTCATACAAAATCCACTTCCCTGTAGAATATCCTAAAAGTTGGGAATGAAGCAGGTTGATCCTTTTTATGCAAAAGCAATAATAAGCAGTAAAGGAAGTTACAGTAAAGGTAGATATGAATTGAAAAGCCACATTTCTAGAGAAAAGAAAAGGAATGAATGCTTAAAATAACCCAACAGTCCTCGTCTCTACCTAAAGCTCAAAATATTAAGATTCAACTCATATTGTTACAGACGAGAGATTGTGGGTGGGGGGGGGGGTACCATCATTGTATCTGCCATTCCTGATTCCAATAAATCATCTCGAGCAGCTTGATTAGCACCAGCCAATGTGATTCTTTTGACTTCGCTTTTCAAATTATTCAGATCAGTCTTATATTCTCGTAACTTGGCAAGAAGCATAGCCTTTGCATTCGGTGGTAAACTCCTAGCTTCAAGGTCCATCTTACGAATCTAAATAAATTCAGGCAATGATCCACAGTTAACCCCGCAACATAAAAAGATAAAGAAGTTTTCAGACACATCAAATAACTATCACATTACCAGAGTCTCAGCATCATCCAATCCAGCTTTAATATCAGACACTTTTTGTTTCTTCTGCTCTGTAAGTCATGAATGTATAGCCACATATCAAAAACTCAAAAACCATAACAAAAAACAGAGAAAAAAATCTTGCATATACACACAGAGCTATATCGATATAAAAGAGAAATGAATGTCGGCACAGGAGATCTGGCCACAAGCAAAATTAACAGTATCTACAATTAAAGGTAGAATTTACAAATTCAAAAACACACACACACACACACACGATGTCACTAATTTGTCTTTGCTGTTACTTCTTGAAGTATCTGAGGACAAAGAACTCGTGTGATATTCCAAAACATAGTCATATTTTATCTCTGATATATTTCATAAGGTTAACTATTGAACTGGCAAAAATTACCGGGAATGCAAATACAATGAATTGGCTTTTCGAGGGAAAAAAAATTTGCAACTACAAAATAATGCAGCAGTTACAACCAATAAACTACATGCTTGAGCCTACAGCAATGGCCTTAACAAGTCCCATAGACAACAAAGTAAAATAGATATGCATAGGGAAAAAGAAGAGGTCAACTGCAAAAAATTTTCAATAACAATAGTTCACTGATTTTCAACATTTGTCCTCATTCAAACTACAGCCACATTTACAAACTCAACTTAAGGTGATTAGTCATCAGAGATAAACACCATACATGCCAACAGGCTTAGACCAAGATACAATCATAAATGACTTGAGATAGGATATCTAATGAGCAAATCAGTAAACTCTGGACTGAGCGCAAAAGCTAAAAGTTTAACACTAGAATAACACAATATGATATTGATGTTCCAAGTCACCTCAAAGAGGAAATCTCCTAACCAGTAACTAGTCTACAGTAGAATCAACGTCAAATGTGTATGACGAACTCCCACTATACCACTACTAATGCCCCTTGACCAAAACCTAGTAAACCTTAATCTAGATTTGCAGGACGATAAGACAAAGTACAACTCCTCAGTCAACTAGGTTGGCTGTTGATTGCAGCAGAATCATGGTTTCACATAGAAATCCCATTGTATAAAAAAAATGTAGCTCTACCCCGTCTTGAATGCATGCTGCAATGGAGGCAATAATATTATAAAGCTCTGGCTGGCTGTTGAATATACAAGCACAAAGTTCAAAGATTTACATCTCAGCAATTTCCCCAGTGGCAACAAGTCAAGGACAGGGTAAATGAGTGCTCCAGTGAACTCCAGCACCAGTAAGCACAGGAGGTAGTGTCAGAAAAGAAATTGGGAGATGAATTCCAGGCAAATATTTGTGCTCTACCCAGTAACGAATTTGTCATTTTCTGGTACCCTTGTTCAAGTCAGGGAGCAGCTCAACATTTTTCTAATTGCACCATTTTTCCAGTACACCGAAAATCTTTTCATTTTCCACATTTCACAATTTACTGTGTCTTCCTCTAATCAGCCTCAATTTCTAATTATGTGTTTCTCATATATTCCTCCACGCCCTCGTTGGCATTACTAACCTCCCACCCAGAAATTCTACAAAGATGTATAACACAATTCAACAAAGCAATTGTCCAAAGTATTTCGAGTCGGCTCCTAAATTCAGGGGTGTAGACTAGCGTATCTTTGTGTGTGTCAAAGACAAATTTTGCATAACAGTTCACAGTCCATGTAAACAAACAAGAGACGCTGCAATAAAAAATGAATAAATAAATAACGAAAGAAGAGCAATGTCCCTCACCTCCCTCAAGGAGACTGGCGGATGCACATTTTTTTGACAAATTTGCCGAAAACTCGCAGTATTGACGCTCATATCCTTCAAATACCTGACTCATCGTGCTCCCCCAAAATCTCTCAATTACCTTCCTCCAAATCCAATCAACAACCACACAGAAAGACAATTTTTACAATCTAATCACAATTCTCCACAACATAAAATTAAATTTAACATATTTAAAAGCAAAATTTGAATTCGAATAACATACAAACACCAAAACCTAACACCTTCATGGTCATTTGAGGTTGATCAAGGAAATCAAAGAATTAGGAAAACATAGATCGGAGTGTACCGGAAGTGATCGGAGGGTTGATGATTTTGTCGCAAAATAAGTCAGAAGCTCCCCGGAGATTGATCGGAGATGATTTTTGATCTGTTTAATTCGTAAAAAAGATGTTTTTTTTCTCATAATAAAGGATGAAAAGAGCAACAACCCTTTGGGATGTTTCGAGGAAGCCACTCAGATTCTATCTATTTACGCCTCACTGCCACGGAGCTTTGAATTCCCAGAAATGCCCCCGTTTGAACAACCTTCAATTTTCTTGTTTAGATTCGAGTCTTCGTAATTAGAATAACTCTAATTGTGAGGTGAGTTAAACCTTCTCTTCTTCATCGCTCAAATTACACAGTGAGACTTTAAATTCGGCTGGACGTAGATGGAGTGTGATTTCTAGGAGGTAGCTGTGTGATACAAATAGGTAGATGGAGTGTGATTTCCAGGAGATAGCTGTGTGATACAAATATTCATTTTATGTACCTAAAACTATATTCATTGAAGTGTTATAGATGTTCTGTTCACCACCTGTTTGATTAATTTTCTCAGAGAACATAACTTTTTCACTTGTTTCATTTCTGTAAAATTCAAGAGTAGTATTTGAAACTACATGGTTTTCCTCAAATAAGAGGATGTTTCTGCCGAAACCCAGATGGAAAGATTTATTATTGCGAACTATCAGTACAGGAGAGCAACATGTTTTGTGCTCTCTCTACTCCACAATGCCACCTGTCCTGCCATCATCAGAACTTCAAGAGCTATGTCGGGTTGTTTCCAGTGGAATTGGCAGCTTAGATGACTTGGAAGCGAGTGTTAGTAACTTCTCCGTTCCTATTACTGCGTCCGCCATTACCCAAGTCCTTGATTCCTGTAAAAACGAAGCAGCCACAAGAAGGCTGTTGAGATTCTTTTCTTGGTCGCGGAAGGATTTGGGTAGTGAGTTAGGAGATGAGGTTTTCAATCACGCGATTCGGGTTTTTTCTGAAAAGAAAGACTTTACAGCAATGGACATTTTGATATCAGACCTTGGTAAGGAGGGTCGTGTGATGGAAACCCAGACTTTGGTGCTGTAGTTCAGACATTGGTTAAGTTAGGGAGAGTCGATGAAGCTTTAGGGATTTTCAAGAACTTGGGCCAGTTCAAGTGCCCCCAAGATGGTGTTACTATCACTGCCATTGTTAGTGCTCTTTGTTCCAAAGGGCATGCTAAGAGAGCAGAAGGGGTTGTTTGGAATCATAAGGGTAAGATTTCTGGCAGGGAGTTTTGTATTTATAGGAGTCTACTTTATGGGTGGTCTGTGCAGGGGAATGTGAAGGAAGCTAGGAGAACTATAAAAGAGATGAAGTCTGCTGGTATTATGCCTGATCTTTTCTGCTTTAACACATTCCTCAGTTGTCTTTGCGAGCGGAACCTTAAATCTAATCCTTCAGGTCTCGTTCCTGAAGCTTTAAATGTAATGATGGAGATGAGGACTTATGGCATTGCCCCAACCTCAATCAGTTACAATATATTGCTGTCTTGTTTGGGTAGAACCAGAAGAGTCAAAGAATCTCTTCGAATTCTCAAAACAATGAGAAAATCAGGTTGTTTTGCTGACTGGGTCACTTATTATCTTGTTGCAAGAGTTTTGTATTTGACTGGTAGATTTGGTAAAGGAAAGGAAATAGTTCATAAGATGACTGAAGAAGGGCTGGTTCCAGAACAGAAGTTTTACTATGATTTAATTGGTGTTCTTTGTGGAGTTGAGAGGGTGAATTATGCTCTTGAGCTATTTGAGCTGATGAAACAAACCTCGATTGGTGGTTATGGGCCAGTTTACGATGTGCTTATACCAAAATTTTGTAGAGGAGGAGACTTTGAAAAAGGTAAAAAACTTGGGATGAGGCGACAGCTAAGGGTGTGGCTCTTCATTGTTCGAGTGATGTGTTGGACCCCTCAATCACAGAGGTGTTCAAGCCAAAAAGGAAGATGGAGGAGAGAGTCAACCTTGTGGATTATGCCCCACCCAAAACTCGAGCACAAATAAAGAAGTCTTGTGGAAAGCAAAAGAAAATAAAGAAGAAGAAGAAGAAGAAAAATACTGCTCCAACTTAATTGTTATATCTCCTTCATCGCCCCTCCTTTGTTATAGTCGGTATGTTTTAATTTTATTTACCTGACATTGCAAGGCCATGCATTTATTGATGTTTGTCTGCTTGTTATTATTGTTATAGTCTTCGTTAGAACATATTAGCTTGCTTTCCATAATCTCAGATTATACTTCCTTATTATTGTACAGGTTTTTATTTTTGAACACTATTGTACAGTTTGATAAATAGATTTGTTGTATATGTTATTTTGATCTATGACAGGTCTAATAATGGTGTCTGAGCACATTAGGCACTTCATGCAGGGAATGTGAGTGAGAGAGTGACCTCTCTTGAACATTATTATTTAGAGTAATGCAATTTAGACCTAAAAATCTGATCTAATTTGTTGATATAATGTTATGGTTACAGTAGAACCATTGGATCAACACCAAGTTCTAGGGGCCCACAATTAATCCAAAGGCTATAGTGAATTAGGTCAACAAATTAAGTCAATAAATTAGGTCTGAATAGCATTGCTCTATTATTTAAAAGATGTTGCCTGATGAGCATAGTTGGGCAAGACTGAAAATTTTGCATTTTTTTGAATGTTGCAAGGGGTTCCTCTCCTAGATAACGTAGCATTTTCTATTAATTGATTGGGTTCACTTGGGGATACAGTGAAGACATTGTGATTCCTATTATAGTTGCCAGATCTGGTAAATACAAAATCCTTGGTGGCTTGGCTCTTTGAATTTCCTCCACTCAACACAGTCCTCTCTCTATTTGGGAGTAATGCCCTTTATATACCCTTTGGCCACAAGTGAGCTTTTTGCAAAAACCATGCATTTTATAGCTTTAGTGAAGTTTTAGTCCTCAATTCTTTGTGGCCCTTAAAGATATTCAAATTTCTTTGATATGAAATTGGCTATATTTCTTCCTAATACTTGTAGTCGATCTACCAAGTTGGTCCCTTTGAACATTTTCCAGCTGATGTGAATTTCTGGTCTTCACCTTTGTTTTGCTTCAAATGCCATAGTTTTGTTTTTCTCTTTTTTATAAGCCAAAGGAAGTACTGTGCTACAACTTAAATATGTATCGCCCAAGCGTAGGTTATGCGAAGTGTGAAAATGCTCGAAAGTCTTGAAATCGTACTAATTGATGAATGACTTAGAACACAAAAAAAAAATTAAAATAAAATTGCTTTTAAATTTTTTTGAGAAATTTAAATTTAGAAAACAATAAATGTGGGTTTAAAATAGTAATTTAGAATACTAAAGCATTAGAGATTCCCTTCCAACTTCACACAATACTTATTTATGATTTGATTTTCGAACTCAATTAAGGTTCAGTTGATGAGTGATCTTAATCGAAAGATTAGCAGTGATAATATGAGAACATACCCAAAAGTATAATTAATAAAATATTTGGATAAAAATTAGTATTTAATTGGAGATAACAAGAATTCGCGGTGTCCGGAGTTGACGATCAATCAAGATCTCTAAGACAAAAAAATAATTTTTTATTATAAACAAGAAATCAAGTAATGTATGAAAATTTAAATTAATTAATTCAATCATGAAAAACCAATTATTCGACCTGCGAGGAATCTAAAACATTCGATGTATGTCACACAACGAATCAAGAGATTTTACAGAGCAAAATTTTTATTAAAAGACATAAGTTAATTAAAAGGAAAAATCATACATTAAAAAATATTGGATCAAAAATAAATACCATATTTTATTGAAAGATTCAGCCCTATCTTTATTTGATGATTTAGCAATCCATAAGAAAACAAAACAAAAAGCTTTGAAAGAGGGGTTGAAGGTAGAATAATCCCCAAATTACAATTTACAATTATTTATAACTGGATTAGGAAGCAAAAACCTAATAGAAATCAAAGACCACATCATCCAGCCACACTGTCTCTCCCATCCGGATACAACGAACATGCATCCGAACGTATGCTTTCATCTTGCAATTCTTCACCATTCAAGTCCGGACGCGTATTTCCTCCGTCCAAATGCACCAAATCCTCTATAAATCGCGTCCAGACGCTTGAAATAACGTCCGAACGTGGCTTTCTCTCTACAACTCACGTCCGAACGTGTGAAACTGACCTCCAGTTGCATTTGTTAGTCTTTGTTTTTCTTCTTTTCTTCATCCAAGCCTTCTATCTTCCGTATATTTACACTTTAGCCTCTATATTTTGCCCTATTTACCTGAAAAACAGATAAGTGCTACAAAAATAGATTTAAAACTTGAAATGCATAAATCACACATATTTAACTTTCAATCCTACGTAACTAACCAACAATTAATAGAACAATTATGCATATTTCATGGCTAATTATATTACATATTGTTAAGAATAGTAGGGTAGTATGTATAAATTGTAGATAGTAATAGAGTATATGTGTAATTTTTATTATTATAGGTTAACTATAAATATAAGTGATACATGAGAGTTAGGTTAAGTTTTTAATCTCAATTTGTTTCTCCCAAAATATATTATCTCTAATATTATGTTAATCTTTCAAACTTAACATGGTATCAAAGATTCTAAATATAAATATTAGTATTAGTCTGTGTTTGTGTTGCAGAAATTACTTGGCTTGGTAACGTTACTGTTGAGGTAGTATCACTGTGCTGTTGTCGGAGTTCCGACGTCGTGGTGGTGTTACACAGTGGTTGTGATACATTGTGGTGGTGGTGGTACAACGGCTGGGTTGGAGATTTTGCTCGTTGTGGTGTTGTGTGAGTCGATCGTGGCTCGATCGTTGTGGTGCCTGTGAGCCAATCGTGGTGGTGCTTGTGAGTTGATCGTGGCTTGATCATTGTGGTGTTCTGTGAGTCGATCGTGGCTACTGAGTCGATTGTCGACGCTGGTGGTTCTCTGTGGTGGTTATTGTGGTGTTGTGGTGGTGGCTGCTGCACAGGATTCTCTTGAAACCCAAATCTGAAGAAGACGAAGTCCATTGGGGTTGGTTGCGGGTCGGTTCAATCCAGACCTGGTCTAGCCCAAGATCCAAATCAAAACCGGTCTAGCCCAAACTTAGACCAGACCGGTTCAAGGTCGGTTTAGTCCACTCCCGGCCGGTTTAGTCCTAGTTTAGTTAGTTTGGCACCGGTTCAGACAGGTTCCAGTATCTTTCCTGTCCGGTTCAGGCTTCCAGTAGCCTTAGCAAGGCTGGTTCAGTGATCCAGAGGGCTAAATCAGTCCGGTTCAACAGTTTTCTAGGCCGGTTCAGTCTTCCAATAGCCTTCTTTGGGCTAAATCAGGCCGGTTCAGCCTACTAGCAGCCTCCTTTGGGCTAACCCAGGCCGGTTCAACGGTTTTTTAGGCCGGTTCAGCCTCCTTTCCTCCAGTTTAGCATTGTAGCACTCCTTTCCTCCTTTCCTTTCCGGTTTGCTGCACTATTATGGACCCCAAACAAGATACCGGGTCCCTTACTCCTTCTTTGCCTCCTCCGACTCTTATTAATGGTCTCATGACCTCTGTCAAACTTAATGAGACTAATTACACTTTATTGTCCTGATCTATTCAAGTTTTTCTTCGAGGCAAACGGTTTAAGAAATATTTGGTGAATACTAAACCAAAGAAAGACACTCCTGTGTATGATCAGTGGGAACAAGAGGGTGCTCAAATTATTTCTTTATTATTGAATAGCATTGAGCCTAGTATTAGTTCTACCTTGCTCTACCTTGACACTGTCAAAGAGATATGGGATCACTTGGCCACTATGTATTTTGGTATGGGTAATTTTACCCAAGCTTATGAGGTGTGCAAGGAGTATTTTCGGCTGGAACAAAATTGATGGGACTCTTCTGAAAAGCCCTGAGATGAAGACACGTGTCCTCGGGGTTTTGGAACAGTGTTGCCCGGATGTAAGCACCATCGGCGAAGAACGTCCTCTACCCCGAGGTGCCCTCTCATATAGGATCACACATTCGGTGTATTATACAAACAAACACGTGTCCTCGGTCACGCGTACCTCGGAAACATACCACCCTCGGTCCCCGAGGTAAGCCTTTTCTCGGTGCCGAGGTCACTCCATCCTGGACGCTTCCTCTACTCCCGGATAAAGCTCATGACATACTGGACATCAGCCTATGCCAGTATGGACTATTCGTCATGACCTCTTCTTACACAAGTAATGTCAGAACGTTCTGGAATACCGACGTAACAGCCAATAAGGGATGGACGCGTGGCAAATAATGTCACATCCGAAGCAGACAAACCGCATGCCGCTGCTGACACGCGACTTGGGAAAGTAAACAATTAATTGCACCCTTCTGTTGACGAGACCGCATTCAATGCGGTAAGGTTCGGATATGAAAGGCAATAAATGCTCCTATTACAGAGCATTTATTGCATCCTTCCCGAAAGGAGCATATTGTACCGTCGGCGTCCCGACAACTCACCATTGATTGCTCGGGACCCCGAGCAGTCAATTAGAGAAGACATTCCTCATCAAATGATTACACACGCTACCTGTGCCTGATGATCACCTACTGACCACACTGACAGCAATCATGATCTTCTAAGGTATAAATACCCCTCCCAAAAGACAAAGCGGGTATGCAATCACAAACTCTCTACTACAAAATATCCTTCTCAGTGTTTTCTCCTTCCTCTCTCTCATTCAAAGACTGACTAGACCGTCGGAGGGGATACGCCGGAAAACACTCCGGCGCCCTTCTAACTTGTTCTCCTTTGTTCCAAGAAATACCTTTCACACGTACAGGATCGTTCTTCCTTTCCCAAGGCCTTCCTTTGCCGTTCCAGGTTGCCACCGTACCTCGAAGGTTGTTTCAAGCAGCGTGTTTGGCCACTCAACCGGCTCACTCAGAGTTCACCAGGGGAGAGATCTGTTCCCAATATTTTATATATCGTGCAGGATCGAGCCCGCACAAAAATAATCTGAGCATTGAAGATTATTATTATCACGTTCGG